TATTACACTTTCAAAATCAAATAAATCAAATCTGAATATTTAATCTGACCTTATTATCATCAGAGAAGGATGACAGCGTTTCGTTTAGCCGGACACTCTCAAACTCCTGGTTGTTGGCGTACACCCGGAACACCTTGAACTGCGTCGACGTCACTCCGACGTAGGGCTCCAGATTCTGTTTAAACGCTGCTAATGTTATTCTCTTGTCCACGTGAACTACTAAACCTGGAGAGGACCACAAGAAACAGCAATTACACACTGTCACCATTATTCACCACAGGGAAGACACTCTTCCTCGTCTTTCCTCTGATCATTAGGGTCAAGTATGGTTTGTTTAAAATGTAGGAGGTTCAGCAAGAAAACTGAAAATAGAATATCTTTAAAACAGATTTTACTAAATTTCATTCCTTAAAGTGTATCATAAAAGGGGAAAGGGCCTGGTAAGGACTTGGCTATCGTGGTACATGTTTGACCAGGTGAGCTATGGATTCGTACATTTTTGTGAATCCCACGAGGAGTCATCCTGAGAACAAGGTTCTGCTCTGAAGTAAAGGTAATGAGCCTCCGCCTTGCTCTTCCCGTTGTCGTCATACTCGCTATCGGTCCCAGAGTCTTCTTCAGCAGTGTCCCACGTCTCTTTTTTGCCCTCATGAGCTTTGGAGCGCCGGCTACTCGTGATGCTGTGCGAGTCCAGGCCATTGGCCAATTGTAAGGGCCCGCTGTCTGCATTACACAGAGTGTCACTGCTGTGGCTGGAGCTGAGAATGTCGCTGTCCACTGAGCTGGTGCTGCGGTCATTGTTCACCTCAGAGTCTGAGCGCTCCTCACAGGGGTCAGAGGAGGCACCACCGCTGCAGCCAGCTGTGGCCCTAATCCGGTTCTCCAACTCTCTGTTGTCTGCAGCGACGCACAGTGAGGAGTTTGAGTCAGCCTCTTGGGTCGGAGACTCGATATGTTCAAAGTCGCTGGCATCAGAGCTTTTCTGGCTGTCACTGTTGCTGGAGCCCTGCTGCTGCTGCTGCTGCTGCTGCTGCTGCTGCTGCAGAGACAGATTCTTTAACTTTTCTGTGCTCTCCTCTAGTATAGCCTCGACAGACTTCCTGTTACCATTGGACCCATCGAAGGGCACATCAGAGTCATCTCCCACTTTTTGGCAAAGAGTTCTGTTGGCCAAGGTGCCAGGCGACTGCTCAGGCAGTAAGACCAGGAGTCGGATCGTGTTCCCGTGACGATCCAACAGTTTCCACAAGACTGAGTCAGTGAAAGCAACCTGATGATCCGTCGACTCCGAGCTCTCTATGAAAACCTGAATAAAAAAAGAGAATTAAAACAAATGAAAATCAAAGTTAACAATGTCAAAAATGTAAAGTGTAACAATAAATTCCCTGCTTTTTTCCCCCCAGAACTCTAAAAAACACAGTGACAAAACATGGAATCACGAAAGACAAAACTTGAAATAAATTTAGGAGACCTTGTTACTCCTGAAGAATCCCTCAGCTTTCAAGGTCTTGTTTGGAACATAGAGGAGACGGAGGTCGTTGTAGCAGCGCTCAAGGACCACACGCATGGTTTCTGCTGATAGCCCTGTAGCCTATAAAGAAACACACACACACACAAGGCTGCAAGGCTGTTCTCATACTCTGTTTACTTTAACACAAATATCGGTGTTGATTTTGAAAATAGCTGAGATAAAGAAAAAGAAAATACAGTGTAGAAAAGAATGTATGAGTTGGGAACCTGTGCAATAAGCTGTTTGAATTCAGTGATTGTCTGGTTCAAGTAAGCCCGAACGCTGATTGAGGAGGCAATGGTCTCACTCTTCAGATCCACAACATGAACCTTCACCATCACCTCTGTAGAAAATCAGAAACACACCCACTTAGACATAAAGGCTACAGACATTACTTTGCTTGATCTTCTGACCCGCTGTACAATAATCTTTGTAACACTATGTAAAATAAGACAATTATCTCCATCAGTCAGACATTCAGTGAAACGTACTGACCTCCAGGTTTGTAAGGCTGGAACACTTGCTCAGGCCGGCGGGTCTCCAGCAGCAAGTCGAACATGTACGAGGACTTGACTCCTCCCAACAGGAGACCCATCAGTGTGTCCTCCTCCCCCTCATAAGAGCGCTCCAGGTACTCGTGGAACTCGTCATACTTGACCAAGCGACAACAGTCAAGAGCGACGACCCCCTCCAGCTCCATCAGCTGAGGTTCAGAATAAAAAAATGTATATAGTATATATAGCAAGTAGCATCTTTATAAAAAAAGGATAAGGCAGCAACGAGGAATAGAGCAGCCTATATATTGTCTACTGAATATGACAAATATTTTCTCAAGCTCACCATGAATTTTACGAAGACTCCAACATTCATTTATCAATATATATGCTGTCGAAACACATTGACCAGATTGGCCATGTTGTTGGAAAACCAGAAAGCTGACAAACCTTGTAGGCCATCTCTGTTGCTTCTCTGAGTGTTTTGTCCTTGTGAACTTCCAGCTTGCTCTCCATCATCAGCTTAACAGGATGCATACAGAACAGCTTGATCTGAAGGTCAAGAGAATGAGATTGAGAAACGTTTTGTTTATTAAAAGAAAGAAAAATAACAGTGTATCAACTGATCAATGTTCAGAAGTGGGGATGGTCCATTAACCACATACCTTGCAGGTATTGCGCTCTATCTCCCTCTGTCTCTTTTCCTGCTCTTCAGACTCTTTCTCCTTCTGAACCAAACTCGTTATGTGCTCTGGGAAGTCTTCCACAGATAAATACTCTGTGAACAGAAGACAGCACACATTATACACATTACAGGAAAAAATCTACCAAGAAGCACTAAACCCAAGAAACGATTTATTCATAAGAGTGATGCAATGCAATGCCTCTGACAAGCTAATAACACGCAAACCACGAAGACAAACGACCTTAAGGTATCAGAAGATGCTTGGTTCATTTTAAAGACCAATCATTGTAACTGGGATTTATTCACAAGCATCTCTTGGCTTAGAAAACCCAAAACAACCACCGGCACCAGCATCACAATAATTTCTTAATTATTCAGAAAACATCAACTGTTTTTTTTAGCCTTTTTAAGAAATAAAAAAAAAACAGGGTGATTGACTACAAATAAAAAAAAGTTAGGTCCTGTCACACTGAACAGAGTTGCTGAAGTTGCTTTTAAGATGGAAGAAAAGCAGCACAATGAACCGAGGATCATGTCTGTGCTGGCATCTCAGTAATTTTGTAAAATTATCTGTGTCAGATTAATTTGAAACATTTCCTTACTTGCATTCCTTGAGGGATCTTTCAGTCTATAGATCAGCATATATGCATTTGTAGAGCTGTTGAATGGAAAAAAAATATTGTTAATGAATATAATGGAATAAATATTTGTAGATATATATGTATAGAGAAAGAGAAGACATTGTTTTGTCAGTCGTAAGAGTTGGAGCCTATTCCTTCAGCAGGAACATGAAAGTGCAATGAACAAAGAATAAACAAGAGCCCTCTTGTTTCCCAGTTTGAACACATATGTAAATGGTTCTAGTTTATTACTATTCTATTCTCTAAGGGCACAGTACTGTAGGAATGCAGTGAGTGTTGGAGACAACTGACCTTGCAAAGGCACTAGAATAATAGCCTCTGTTCCCTGACGACCCCCCATGTGTCTTTCTTATATCATCCTGGGTGATCTGCCCAACAGAAATGCACAGAAACATACTGACAATGATTCAACAGATACACCATGTTAATAATGAAGATGTTAAAATGACAAGGACACTGTTTGCTTGGTTTAGTTAGAGTAAAAACGAATGAAGTACTGATAGAGTCCGGTGGGTCTAACTGACATTGAGGTGCTGTAAGAGGACAAAAGCTGTTAGGGTCGAGGGTTAAGCTGACCTTGCTAACGTGCTGATCGTTGAAACTGTACCACTGGCCATCGCTGAAGGATTTGATGCAGGCATAGTAATGGCCACCAGCAGCACTTCCAGAATGGACCATGACGGAGAACAGCTCAAAGGTCAGCAAACTCTGAGAATAAGACAGGTTGAAATCCATTTGTTCAGATAAGATAAACAACCAGGTTTTATTGTTTTATAGCAACAGCAAGATATAATCTCAAAACATGTTCTACTATGCTCATTAACTTAGCAACAAGTAAAAAACATAGACAGAGAAAAAAAAGACAGTTTGTAATGTAACAAAATTACTCTAACCCACAAAGTATTATCAAGCTCATCATCTAGAAAGTGCAATACACATAAAACAGACAACTTGTGTCACCAGCATCACTGTGTCTGCCAGCAGCTCAATAACATTAAAGACACAAACAGCATTGAGTGTCATGATGAGTCTTTAGAAAACCTCATCATTCAAACTGTTTCCCAAAATGTTGTTTTTTTCATCCTGTCTTAGTTTGTGTTGCTCAAATACATTTTCACAAAATTTAATTAGCAAAGATATTAACAACAATCAACATTATCCAGAATGATCAGCGATGGGTGAAGGAACCTGGTATTAAACAACATTTATAAAGTATTTTTAAGGACAGTAGTGTCAAAAAACTTGATTGATAAAATTTCTCTCACTAACTGTTTGCACACATACTATTGATGTAAGGGAATCAATTATTTTAACAACCCTAACCCAACCACCACAACATGCCTAACCCCAATCCAAATCTAATTTGGATTGGTAAACCAAGTGTTAAACCCTTAAACAACTAGGCAAAATGTTCCCACTCTATACAGTCTAATAGTCAATAGATAGAAATACCAAAACACACGCATGTATGTTGTGTAAATGAGCAGCCTGAAGCCCAAACACAGAGTTACCTAAATAACATGAACATGGGTTGAAGGTTAAACGAAATCATTAACTAGATGATGTTATGGCTGTGCTCTGAAATGGTCAGAGTGAAAGTGTTGTTCACAAATCCAGTTTCAGTTTACTCTGAATGGGGGCAGTTTTAATGATTTGGAAAAAAAAAAAACATAACATGATACCCAACAGTGAGCGGTGAAGATGGTCACCTTTGGCTTCAGCACCCTCTCTGTGCTGCCGGTGCTGTCCAAGCAGATGCCCTCATCCACACAGTCATCAGTGGAAAAATCATTGCTCATCTGGTCGCTGTGGCAACTGCCTTCATTCTCCGCTCCACTGTCAGTGCAGCTCTCAGTCTGAGGCGACTTCTACGGGGGGTAAATTTAAAAAAACAACAATAGGTAATGGTTTAATAAACATCAGGCTTGACATAGTGGCAATTATAACTTATTTTGGAGCAAAATGTGTCACGTAGCTCGACGTGGATTTGTTTCCCATTATGACACTTGAGAGGGAAGGAATATTTACACAGAGGGAGGTAATATGAATTTATAGATTTCTAGAGGCCCAGTAGTGGAATTGACATTTGATAAACCCCCTTATGGTTTATATAATAAAACACAAAAAGTTGAGCATGTGAAAAACTTATTTTTCCAACTATAGCTTATAGTCATGTCAAGTAGTTGATGGTGAACAGATTAACTGACAAAATGTTCAATATTGTTAACACCCATTGATTGAATGTCAATCTGGAATAGTGATAGAAGCAAGTACCACCACTGCTGCTGCTGCTGCTGCGCTCACCTCGTCTTCCACATCAATGAATGGGCTCATGTCAAGTTCCTCTGGGAAAGTCATGCGGTCATTCAGCTTGATGCGATGCATAGTGGTGTAGTCGAAATCAAACCGTTTCAGCTGCAGCGTCAGCAGGTAGGGGAAGTGCAGAAATCTTAGACCCTGTGCACGGAAGCATTTATTAGATGATCAGACAGGTCAACAGTGGAACACTGTATTCTCTGAACATGATTCCCATGTAGTTTGCTCACCTTTCGGGCGTCGCATTTCTTTTTGCAACGTTCACAGAAGTACTGGTTGGGCCCATCCAGGGTTTCTGGTTGGATGAATGCCTGCAAAGCCTCCTCCTGTGGTAGAAAACAAATAAATTCAGTTACGTTTATAGAAAGTAGTTGTGAATATAAAATGGCCTTGAGCTGTATCAGAGTGAGGTGCAAGTACTGAATTCAACGCAGCTTTTAGACCTGATGCAACAAATGTGTGTATATACCAGGTTCTTCTCCCTTTAGAGTCAGATGAGACATGTGTGCGTTATATATGATGTCATCGTTTTTCAAGACAGGTGACTGATGAAAAACATGGTGATTTGCTGAAATATTTACTGGAAAGGTTTAATGCATTATTAGAAAATGAAGGCTAAGCTTTGAGGAGGAAGAAGGGGGGGGCTCGAGTTTGCCGGATTTATTGTTTGTTTTTAACTTTTAGGGAAAAGACATTTATCTGCTTCAGAGGCTGAGAATTGTTTTCGTAAACATTGGCAATTCTGTCAGCTCAACCTCATGTTTTAGGTGGTTGTTTTTCAACAATGATTGGGTTCTACAGTGTGTTTTATTTGTTGCCTTGAGTCTTAATGGGTTAAGAAGCTGTGTAACCCAAAGAGTGAATGAATGTCAAGTGCAGTTAGAGTCTTTGGTGCCAGTGTGCTAAATGTTTAAAGGAATGAAATGGAGACAGAAACACACCACACTGCCATAGGCCTGGCTGACTCCGAAGGGTCTGATCACAAGAGGGATGTCCAGGTAAGTGTCAATCCTCCAGCTCTCATAGCCACACTCCAGACAACGGACATAATCCTTCAGCTTCCCCTGGTAGAGCTGGTTGATCAGGTCAGCCTGAGGACAGGGATGTATGACAGTCACGCCTCCTCGGCCACATTTCACTTGTAACAATACAGCATTTGTTTGGGGTTGCAAACTTTCCAATTTTGAAGAAAAAGAAAGGCATTTTTTTCTGCAAAAGTTGTGTTTACTTCTTTTTACTTTTTTTTTTACTAAAAAAAAAATCTATAAAATATGTTATTTTCTCAGGGCTACTCAAACTTCTCATGCACAGAGTCAGCACAGTGACATGCTGACAATAACATGGTACAAATATTAACATCTGAGGGATATCTCCACATAACATCAGTTCACTTGATCGGTTTTACTTCAAATTCCCTGTTTTACTGTAAACAGCCAAAGAGTAAAAAAAACAAAACATTGTTCTATTATAATACTGGTGTTATTTTTAATGGATTCAATCTCATGAATTGCTTTGGTCCAGACCAGGAGGACATATGTACAGACAACATGGCTACATGCAGACAGGCCTGAGTGTTTGCAGTTTATAACTTGAGATAAGAAACCGCTAACTCTGGGGCTTATTTACTGGCCTGTTTCACTTTTCTCACAGTAGGTCTTTTGTTTTCATTGTGACGGTGTGAGACCTCGGATCAGCTGCTGATTTTTTGTTGTCTGAATTCTAAGAAAATATTTGTTTTCTCGTACCTGCTCTGTCTGCTTCCACTTTTGTTCCAGGGCATCAAACATGACCCTGCACAGCTCCTGGATGTCATGCTGCTGCCAAGCTAAAAAAACCAACACACAAAAAGTGTCATTTAGTGAACAGATGCATTTACATGTGGTCTCTCCCTTCACAAACACATAGACAAGCCAAATGAGTCTAGTCACAGGAGAGCAGAACAAGCTCACCCTCGCTGCTGTCCCAACCAAAGCTCCGGGTCACATCAGTGGTCTCAATCGCCCGTTTCTTACTTGTCTGCAGCAGGACAAATAGTCTTTGCAGCTGGTAGGGGATACTTGTGACTGGATCCTCCTCCGACTCCTCAAACTCCCAGCTGAAGTTGCACAGAACACAATTTTAAAACACAATACATTAATTTCACAAGTAAAACATCACAATGTTTATGAGCATGGTTCCTCACTTGTAGAGTGCATTTCTGAACTCTGGGGTCATGAACAGTGTTTGTAGAAGACTGTTCAAATAGCAGGTCATTGCTTGGTTAACCAAGCCCACGTAACCTGCAGCAGAGGCAAGTGACAAGAAGAGAAAGGTGAGCTGAGGTTGTATTAAAGAAGTGATGTCACATGTTCAACAGCTCAACACCAAAACTCACCCGTCTCAGATTTGTTGAGGATGGATGAGTAGGAGTAAGATGGACTGCTGTAGTCACCACTGCAGCCTGCAGTGGCGTCTCTTGGTAGGGGCCCAATAAACCGCTCCTGTGAGCTATCATCCAGTCCACTGCTGTCTGCTGCTCCTGACTCATCCTGCACACGTGAACATTCAGAGAAAATGAAATACCTTTCGTTTCCAAACCCTAAATCTGTAAAAGAGCTTATTTTTTTATCATGTACCACTCACCGATGCAATCTTGGGCTGCTCTCCTTCTTTGTCTGTAAGCTGGAGAAAATTCCTCTTACCACCAGGCTCAAACCCAGATTCTGAGAGGGACATCTCACTGTTGTGGTCTAGAGGTTTCTTGAAGGTAGAAGAGCAAAGAAAACATGAGCTTTACTTTTGTACTGGATACAGATCAGAAACAATTCCTTGAAAATGCACAAAGCAACAGCAGCAAATATTACAAACAAGTACAACAATACAAACTGGACAAACTCACAAGGCTCCCACTGAATTCATTTTCAGCAAATTCCCTGTATTGGCGTGGTATATGAGGAAAGTAGCTTGAAGCCAACATGTGAGCAATGCAACAGAGTTGTCTTTCTCTCGAACAAGCTGAGGACAAGCCAGCAAAGTGCTGCAGTGGAAACATGCAGAGGCTTAATCCACTGACCTACTCAGTGAGATAACAACAGACACAGCACCTGGGCTTTGGCCTGGGTCAGCAGTGGGATTAGCCAGGGCTGATTTAAGAAAAGGGAATAGTATCTACATAAAGAGACAACCGAGAACATACTCAAGTCAACACTGACTGCACACATTAAGAATTAATTCCCTCTATGGATTTCATTGATAAATATCCGCACCACCATTCGGCCAGGCTTTAGTTTTCTTTGTAGCAGAGAATAATGGCATGGTGAAATTAATTTATGAACACTGAAAAAAGAGCCACTGGCCCTATCTCACTCTGAAACATATCTTTAACACAATCAGCTTCACTGAGGTCATGATATAGTGACACTACCATTCTAAGTAGAAGATGCAGGGGCTATTGTATGTGTCCTGACATTAACTTAGAATGCAGAGGAAGTTAATGGCAACAACAAAAACAAGCTCGGAACCATTATTATGATTCCCACTAGAGATCACCTGACACACTAACAAAACCAAAATGCCTTTGTTGATGGAAACAGGGGGCAGGGCAATCCAGACCTCTCAGCTCTAGTGCTAAATGCAGCAATGTTGGCTGGTACGACCTCCTCTACTGCCATCACATGTGATTTGGCTCTGGGCTGTCAGGAGCCACGCAGGAGGCACACTCCATAGTCGCAAGGATTTTAAAACAAAATATGACCCAGAGCCATACAATTCATTTCTTACTGGAAAAAAAAAAATCCTTGTTTGGAGACAGCCCTAGTGTTTATAAGACCATTGTCCAGCTGCTAATCGTCTGAAAGACACTTAACTGCTCAATAGTGGTGATTATGCTCTGGAAGTTTATCACGACCAAGAACACCTGTACCATTACACACAGTCACTTCATACATTGTTAAATTAGAAAAAGCAATTACTGCAGATGTAATCACGTCTAAGCCGAGAACCTAAACATCTTTAATCCTACACAGACCTAAGCTATTATATAAATATAGAGCTTTTCCTGCCAGGCTAGTTTAATTCAACTATGTTTTTGTTTGAGCACTTAAGTAGGAGGAAAAAAAGACTTTTCAACGCATTTTCAAAACAAGCTAAGCATCATCTTTTGCATGCTAGCCTCCTCTACAACCTGTTAGGTGCCACATTAGAATCATGCTGAAACCCTGAAATGCAACATTTACCAAGACTTAACCTTTTATTTTAATGGTGTGATCAAAGACCTGCAGCCAATACCCAAGTTGAGATGAGATTATACTGAGATCTGTGTTTATTTATGAAGAGAACCATTGTCACATGTAACCACAATCACAAAGAGACTAAATTTATGTTCTTACCATGTCCAATGTATTTCCCCAAACAAGATCAAATGTGCCATTGACATATCCGGCTTTTTGGGCAACATCTTTATAAAAAGTGGAGAGGGCGGTGGAAGCCGGCAGGTTTAGGGTCAGCCTCTCATTGACTGTCTTTGCACAGGTTGTGTCCTGGATGATACACAACACTCTGGGCTCCTCAGCTGCATTTTGGATCTGAAAATCAAGAGTGCCAGAAAAGGGTTAGTATGAGTTATATTTGATATTTATACACATTTCTATAAAGATACAGCTCTGTATAGTGTATGTGATAGTCTGGTCAGATTTGTAATCTTTTCCTTTTATACAATTGTTACCAAGCTTATACTTAGGAGTTCTTTTGTGAACTGTGTTTGTTTGTGTTGAAATAAAATACATAAAAAACATTTGAGGATCAAAAGCTTTTCTCCAAAAAGGTTCAAGAAACAACAAAAGTTAATATTCATCAAAATAAGAAAAAAATGTTTTTGGAGTATCTTCACAAAATAAACTACCCATCATAATTTTTTATTGAAAACGGTATGTATTCACTGGGTCAATAATCTTGTAACTAAAAACTAAGTTATCTTCAGCTAAAGCAATCAAATGATTAACTAACACCATCTAACATGTTATTTATTTGCAATTAATCTTTTTATTGTCTTGATAAATGGCCACAAAAATACATTTTCAAAATCAAAAAACACAAACAAAATGCCACACTACCCAAAATCTTTATTTTCAAACTATTCATACACAACAGGCCATGCACTTGCTAAATCATGCTTCATTTAACTGTAAAATAAAGTTTCAAGATGCAGTGAGTCACTAAACAGTCCCAGACGTTTGATTTGTGATTGGTCTGGTACGTTCTTAATCAAGTGAAAGCTAAGTATCAAAAACTGCCAGAAAAAGCCACCAAGCACTGATTTAGCATATTAAGACCGATTTTGTCTTGAATTTGCACTCTTTATTTTAATTTTATTTGATAAGCTATTGATTAATCTAAAAATCTTCTCATATTTCTTAATTTGTGAGACATTTATAGAATAGCTTTTGTTCAGTAAAAATTGATGCACAGACAAATTTTGTAGAATAACAGCACTATATTCCAAGTGCTGTGTGTTATAAATTTAGAATGATACCCTGTGTTAAATGTGATTATTTATGCCATTACCTGCAAATACATTTGTCTTCTGATTATTCATTATTTAAATGCCCCTAAAATTAGTCACACTTCACACACACACATACACACACAAACACACATCTACCTGAGAAATCTTTTTCTTCATCTCATCAAAAATACTTTGTCTGCAACTCCAAAAAACACCCTAATAACATGTGGAGATAGTTGGGGAGGAACAACTTTAAAACAAGCAGAATAAGGAAAGAAAGAAAGAATCAAACACTGGTCAGATTAGGCTTCACAAAGCCAACGTGTAGGCCACACCTCCCACTGCCTGGTTGGTAGATCAACATAAACACAGGAATATATTCAAGTCATTCCAGTTGTTGCAACCTCTTTGTAAGGTTTGTGATCTTGGGAAAAAAGTGACTGACAGGTCGTATCAAGAAGCTGCAGCTGACAACACACAAGTGTATTATGAGATTAAAGGTTATTTTTACCGTGGATATAATTACATGGTGCTGACGTGAAGGCACAGGTTATTCACAGAACGGTATTTCTTTGCACTTGTAACTAATTGTAAAAATGATCATAGACACTATAATGTGGAATACAATGATTCCTTTTAATAAAATGTAACTATGACTGCACAAACATTGCATGTAATGAACACAAAACCTTATAAAGGGATGGAGATGCTGATAGTTAGCCAGTTCAAATTTAATAAAACTAACTTTAGATTACGCATTTGTCAACTTGATCTATGACTTTGGCAATTAGACAGACAATTAGAAGTACTGTGGGTGTGTGGGTCCCCCCCAGGACAGTTTGAGCATCAATAACATCATGTCCTGTGCTCTGGATGGTTTTCATGCACTAATGTTTCCCTTTTCTGCATCAACCTATGATAAATTAATCTTGAGGCTCTTGAGAATTCCCTATTCCTTTTAAATATATACAAATGTTAACACCAATGTTAAATTAATTATTCTTGGTTAATCAATAAAACCCTGGACTTAAACTCAAATGAGTTTCAGTTTACGTGCATCTCAAATGTTTTATACTATCTGAGAAAGAAAATCATCCTCCTTTCTCCTTCTGGCTCCTCCACCCCCTAAACCTGCTTGCATGTACACAGCACCTGGAGTGAGGAGGAGGAGATGATTGAGATGACTGCTGCTAACTGAAATCATAACACTGTGTGTGTGTGTGTGTGTGTGTGTGTGTGTGTGTGTGTTTGTGAGAGGCATTGTTGTGTCCACAAGTATCAGTAAGATAGTGTTTCAAAATAAAAGTCCTCTGCTTTGTTTCTTGCTGGGGCCAAACACACATACTTCCTCTAAACATTTTTATATAACAAGCCAAAACAGTTTTGAGCCATTGTGGAGTAATCTGATCTAAAACAGGAACCTAACTCTGCTTTAACCTGTTCACACCAGAGAGATGTGATGTTTGTGCTGCCAACATGACGTGTGAATAATAATGACACAAACTTATTTCCTTTTTAATTAAAAATACTGTATTCCCATGCATGCTGCTTAACCAGATGAATTCGTGAGTAGTGTATCTGAAGCCTGCATCCTCCGATCGGATTTCCCCACCGGCCCTTTTTTATCACCGAATGACGTCCCATGTTTGACGTGTGACTCGGTAACTGACGTAGATGCAGACAAAGTGCTACAAAATAAAACCCGCAGCCATAATGATCAAATATTGTTGTGAACTTGTAGCAACGCTACGGCGACACACGAGTGGTGCACAAGTGACGTGAGAGCATGACTGACTGCCATGTCAGTAATAAAAAATTAAAAAAAAGCCCCGGAGACGTTTGTGTTGCAATTGCACTGTTAAACCGAGCAAACATAATTACCATCTGCAAACCGATACTTCCGGGGACAGTGGATGGAGACGACTTGTTTTCTGTTTTTGTGAAAACACGACTGCAAAATGTCAACACGGGTTCATAGATTATTATCTTAGGTAGCACACAGCAAACTGCGAGCTAACTACCGAGCCTGTAACGTCGCAGGATAAACAAGCTGAGGCTGAGCAACTTCTCATCGTAGCAACGGATGTTCAGATCTGCGCGCTAACGCGACGATAAACCAAATAACTCAGATTGACGCCATCTGTGTCCAAAACGAGCAAAGCCAGCTAGCGTTAGCGTTGAAATGTGACGTGCTAACGTGCACTGTAACGCTACAAGTTCCATTCAAAACAATATGCAAAAGGAAGCGAGAGGGGGGAGGCGAGTGTGTACGTTTGTGAAACTGGGGGAAAACGTCGCTTACACGCTTGTCAGTCATGTCCACTGGTTTATTTACATTTGGTTCAGCAACTTCACAAACATGTCGACTAGCCGGAGTTGTTGCCATTGACCAGAGTTAAAGGGATAAAGACATCTGTTAGCCAAGTTAGCTCAGTAATGTTGACAAATGTCGTCTCTGTTCCGGGGAGTGACTTCATGTCAGCCGCAGAATTTCAAAAGGCTCAAGAGTTGCTTTGATAACAGGCAGGTGAATTACAGGGCTGGATAACACGGGGATAATTATGATTAAAAGCTTTGGCCGCACACGTAAACTCACTTTGTCTAGAGACGTAGCGCAACTAGCCGCTAACTGATGTTGGCTGGAGCTAATGCTAAGTTAGCCATGTCACGATAGGCCGTCCAAGTCGTGTTTGGCTAACTGTTAGCAGCGGAGAGTTAGCCTCTGCGTCGACACGCCAAGATCACAAAGTCGCAAAGTGGTGCTGAAGTTTTGCGGGTTTTAAAGTGCGTGTTCTGCGGGAGTGACAGCCGAGGGAGAGGCGGACTCCCCCCGCGACAACAAGCTCACCTCTTTGGATACGAACTGGTTCTCCTCGCTGGGCACCATCTCCATTTGGGCGACAGTTTAGACGAGCATCTATCCGGACAGGGATGTCAGCGAAGAAACTTTGCGGGGCTACACGCAAACATGGCCCGCGTCCCGTCCGTCGTCGCTTTGGAGGCTCGGAGGACAAAATGAAACTTGCCAAAACTTGGAGGCTCAACCAGAAAAGTGGTCGTCGGGCTCACTGAGGCACAAAGTGTCCTGCTGCTGTACACGGAGAAAAATGGCCGGTGGTTTTACTCCGCGAGACTTCACGCACGGAGCCGTGGCGTCACATTCCATCCAGACAACCGTGCGTGATGTGTGCGGGCAGGATCACGTCGGTGGTGCCTGTTCGCTTCTGATTGTTTTTAATGGAGAGGATGAAAACACAGAGTGGTTCAGTTCATCAGAGAGTGTGGATGTTTCCCACCTCAGTCACATCACAGAGAGCACGATTGATGGGAGTCAGCATAGTCTCATTACAGGTGGAGAACATGTCCTCGAACCGTTTTCTGATTTATAACTTCAGTTTAGGGTTTTTTTCAGTTGAAAATACTTTTTATCAATGCAAACCTTAAGGCTCATATCACTTATCAGAGTGGACATCAGTGTTGATTCAGCAGTGAGAGAAAATAAAAAAAATTAAAAAAACACTAACAGTAGAGCAAAAGTCAAATAAATAAATCAAATAAATAACTGAAGGGTGTTATTCAATGAGCATTAACAAGTGCGAACCGTCAGTCTTGCATTTAAGAGCTCCAGCATATATCTTTAGTTCATTTTTCCATCCATTGATATGGGGCTTGACTTTTAAATATTTACATAATAATAATATTATATATATTTATAATTAATATAATACAATATAATAATAATAATAGTTTTTGTTGTTGAGTAGTGTCCCTGACTTAGTTCTACTTCTTCAAATCTTATGTAAAAGTGAGAGGCACCTGTTGTCATCTGCACCTCCGGGCCTATAATAATCCTCACATGCACAGATCCTTCCATAGGGAGGAAAGAAAACTCACATGCACTGTAGAAGATACATGTCAATACACACAAGACACCCACACACAAGACTGGATTACAAACCAACCAACTGACCCCAGACTCTATAAGTGGAAACGTGGGGCAGATGGTCATAAGATTGGTAATTAAGAGTAAAATAAAATGTAATATGATATGAAATGTATTATGAAACTTGTGTGTGTGTGTGTGAGAGAGAGAGAGAGAGAGAGTGTGTGTGTGTGTTCAGCTGTTGATAATAAAAACAAAGTACATTGGTGCTGAAGATATTTTTAAATTTAATGCAGAAAAATTATAAATTTGGAAGAACTGGTGATAAGAAAAAACAGATTACATTTGTGGTTTATTTCTGTTGACAGTCATCACCTGGAGCTTTGGGACTATAAAGTGAACATGATTTTGTATTTCTGTATTCAAGTTAATTAGCAACCTAATTAATATGTAAAGTCAAATTCGGTAAAATTAAAAAAGGATCAATAATAAGTCATGTTTCCATCCTGAATTGCCACAAATTTGACAACATGTTCTTTTTTTAATCAATGACCAACGAGAATGATTATCAATGAGTTGTCAACAACACTCCCTCTCTTAAAGGTACAGTGTGTAGAATTTATTGACATCTAGTGGTGAAGTTGCATGTTGCAGTTGAATACCCCTCACCTCACTCTCCACTTCCAAACATGAAAGAGAACTTGTGGGAGCCCTCAGTTGTCATAAAAACTCAAAAGGTTTTAGTTTGTCCATTCTGGGCAACTGTAAAAATCATGGTGGCCTGTATAGAGTGGTTAATATAAAGTACTCAAATATAAAGGGCCCATTCTAGGGTAAAGAAAACAACAATTCATACAATGTAGATGAAACACACTAGTGAAAACATCACTAGAATTATTTGATATTCAATTTCTGCCAGTAGATCCCTTTCACCTAATTCTTACACAATGAACCTTTAAGGAATGACATATTCACAGATGTACTTTTTCAGACTGCGACACACCTCGTCGTACCACTTTCCCTGTGCAGCCACTGACAGAGCAACACAGCTCTCCCTCTTTGTTCCTGTGGGCTGCTTCTTGGAGCGGTCCCAGTTGAGAAAGCTGACAGGCAAGCTGTTGACATCAACATACTGGCCTTCTTTCACTATGTCTGCCACGCCGATCCAGAAGTCCTTGGATCCCGGAGCGCTTCTCTTTGCATAGTCCCACAGTTCATTGTTCTCCATCATGTCCCTCGGCGTTGCAAGGGTTCCTCCCTGAGCGATGCAGTCTTCATTCGCCTCGTGGTAATGTTTGGGCTCCTCGATGGTTAGGTAACATTTCCTGTGAGCTTTGATGCCACGGAGACAAACTGAAAACACACAGCACTTACTTCATGAGCGACTTAAAGTCACCATGCAGTATTTTAAGAGTCTGAAACTACGGCAATATTTAGTTCCCTCAGTAAATAATCATATCAAACAAAATTTTAAATCATTTATTTAGTGAATCCCACTTTTACCTGTGGAAAGTCATACATCCACATTCATAAACTCATATTATTGAGAGTTCACGGTCTTCACAGTGACCAATAAATCAGCCAATAAAGGGGAAATTATGAAAGATAATTAACATGACAATTCATAAATACATGGAAAAACCGGAAAGATACACAAAGTTATTGAGATAAATGCTTGATGGTCTTATCTTCCCTATAAATTGTTTCTAACATTTCTCTTTGCAGTTCAGCTTTTTACTGATATGAGTGTCGCTGCCCTCTGCTGGTGACTCTGCACACTAAGAGATCTAGTTATCAGGTTACCAATTATCCCTCAGCAGTTTCCTGCATGAGCTCAGTGGCCTGAATTACATACAACACTAAGAGAAGGTCAAGAGTCATGTTATCTGACACATTTACAATAGAACCCTAGTTTTAACTGATATTGTCATTTTATTTCTGATTTACTTGATTTTGGGGAGCAATATGTGATGCAGTGATGCTTCTGTCTAAATCTCCTGTCACCTGTTCTTTCTTTATGCAGTGAAAGCAGTACCTGTCTGCAACGCCTGCATCTCTTTCAGGGAGTTCACCTCCTGCCACAACCTCTCGAGCTGGGACTTCACATCATCTTCCTCTGCGGCTGCATCTCCGCAAAGACACAAACACAGGTCAGATAAACAAGCAGAGTGCATCCCATTGAAACTGATGTGTGATGTCTGTAGTTACCTCCGGACTGACGAGCTGACACAGCCTTCCTGGTGCGAGACGGGCGGCTGGAGCTGAGGTGGAGCAGGGAGAAGCAGAGCAGGAGGAAGACAGGGAGGGCCAGACGTGCCATGTCTGAGGCCAGTGGATCCTACTGGACAGTGATACAGTGGCTCACCTTATGCTGCTCTGGAAGGAACCAAAAACACTGCAGGCTGCTCAATATATACTGACCCTCTGTACGGCTTCTCTCCGTGCTTTGGCCCCAACTCTGTTTGTTTTTGTCCAAACATCAGGAGGAGGTGAGGGAGGCATAAGGGTGGAGTGGCAAATAATGATCTCCTTGTGTCTGGCGTTTGATAAATATTTACCTGGGACAGGGTGCACTAAGCTGTGTTCCCTTTCATTTCACAAACAAACTGGAAATTCATTGACTGCTCCGCCATCACAGAGCGCTCTTCATCTCATCCCCCATCACTCGGGTCTGCGTTGGACGTGCTCAGTCACTTTTTGACAAGTGAAAAAGAAAAAGACTCTTTGGTGTCAACTCTGGAAGAAGTGAGATATTAACACAAGGGTAGAATTTATGAAGTACATGCTGCTGCTGCTGCTGCTGCTGCTGCTTAGAAACTGTTGACAACTTTACAGTATCGTTCAATCACAGACCCCCACTTGTATAATATTTAAAAATAAAGCGGCTATTAGACCAGAGGAAGTGCAGCCACCAGCTCTGGTGCAGGGAAAGTTATTTATAGAGTGAGATGTTGTATACAGACGGATGGGGGGGAGCTAAATAAGAAACACTCTAAGACATAAGAGCTCGATATAGAAATACACCTCTCAGAGCCTGCTCATGTAAGTTTCACCACTTTAGAGCCTTCAAATTTTACATTCCAGAGAATTATCTTTCAGTTTAGGCTGTACTTTACAGTACAATGTACACAAACTTGCAACTTGCTGTCGTAACATGTTTGCTGTTAATATTTTGAGAAAAAAACTAGGGTGGTTTAATTAGGTTCAAAACATCTGAACATGTGTTGTTTTCCAGCAGGTTATAGAAACTGTATCTCGAAATAGAAATTGTTGGGTCTTAGGTGTCAACAGATGTGAACTAAAATCTCTTTAGACTTATTGCATAGACATGAGTCCAAGTTCTC